TTGGGGGAATATAACTTAAAATTACAAATAAATTCTTTGTATTAGAAATATTATTGCAAAAAATATTAGACTTATTAAAAGTAATTCTTACACATAATTGTTCGATTGAATTATCATGATTTAAAAGAGTAATAGGTTGACTGTAGTAAGATGAATTCACAGCTAGTAATACTCCACCACCAAGTCGCCGACCTGTAGCTAATGAATCTCTGTCTTTTCGATAAACACAATAAATAGACTCATCGAATAATTCAGAAGAAAAAATTCCATTGTGTAGCCATGTTTCAGAACAAGCAATGACAGAAAAGAAATTATCATATGCAGTTCTGTAGAATTCATTAGTTTTAGTACGTAGGCCTCTCGTATTTTGATAATATAAATTGAAGTAATTGTCATCAGAGAAAGTAGAATTTGCCGTATTGAATGAGTTTTCAGATGAGAGACATGAATTAATACCACTGGTATTATTGTGTGCGTGAGAATATAACGGTGATGATGAATTTGGTGAGAGAGATGTAGTAAGCGACAAAGAATTGTATGCTACATTAGAAATTTTATTTAATGTGGCACATGTTAACTTATTTGTTTTTGCTGAACTGATGATGAGTTTTTTTGAAATATAAAATCTTTTGTTTCAATTCCTGATGGCCAAAATTCAGTAGCCTTGATAATATTGTAAAATTCCTCAGGTACACTTATTTTAAATGAAATAGCATTCAGCTGACTAATGTCAGCATCCTTTTTTACTAATTTAAAACACTTGATAACTGATTGGTCAATCTTGAGCTTAGAGGATACATTATTTATCACATTCTGAGATGATGTATTTTTGTCGAGACGAGAAACATGAAGCCATTTTTGGCGCTGTACAACAACCAAATTACAGGCGTGGTCATCCACAGTAGCACTTTCAGACTCATGATCATTAAGTGAAGAAACAGCAATATGTTTGGGATTACACTGTTCACTTACATTATTAGCATTTATATCCGTAGATACTGAACTTAGTTCCACTTTATCTAGCTAAATGTTAGATGGCATAGTGTTGATTAAAACAGGATCCTTGGAAACAGGCTTAGATAATTTCAAAATGGTATTTTTGATGGATGACAATTCATTAGATAAATTATCCAACTTAACCAAAATATCACGAAAAGAGATACTGAAGCAAGAGTCGCATCGCCAAGAAATATTGCAATTTTCTTTATTTATAAGTCCTAAAACGCTATTAGTAATATTAGAGCATTTTAAGCAATAAATCGATTCACAAAGTGAACTGCACTTTACATTTAAATTATTGTTGATCAAAGTGCCACATTTTGAACAATTTACCGCCATATTAGAAAAATAAAAAGAAAATAAAAACAAAGCCAAAAATTAGATGTTAACGCAACGAGGTGTAGCGAGAAATTTTAAACACATAATTATAGAATCATGGGTAAACATACAGAAATAATTTTTTCAAATAAAGAAAAGGTTTAGCCATAAACAAAATATTAATTTTATTCAAATATATGTATGTAAATATTATGAATATATTAGAATTGAACATTTTAAAATTTATTTTATTTATCTATTTGTTTTCCTAATTTCTCATATAAAATTTTTAAGACTAAATGGTTAACAAATATATAGATAACTTAATAATAAAATAAAGTTAAAATAAAGATGGCCCTATCTATTGCGATTGAAAGACAAGTGACGAAGTGCCTTATATACAAATTTAAATTTAATTAATTCATCAATTTATTTGTAGTGGGGAGAACAAGAAACCTACTAAAGTAAAAAAAATTTAAAAATTCCAAAAAAAACGAAATTTAATTCGCAATTGCGATATAGAAATGAGGAAAATGACAAAGTCTAGCTCTTGGAACAACTGACATATTCATATTATTAATTCTCAAGTTATAACCAGAATAAAACCTTTGCACCAAGTAGCCAGACCGCATAAATAAGACTTTTAAAGATTTACAAAAATAAAGGTGCCGAAGCGGCATAGCATTTAAGTTCCTAAACAATGGAAAACTAGGTGCAAATCTATTCCTAATCCTAATGCAATGCCGCTGGGTAATCAAAATAGGGCATATCTTATTAAAATAGGATCCGCTACAACAAACAATACCATTTGAAATTTAGAATTAAAAAGTGCAAAATAGGCCATTCTCGAAACATTTATAGAACAGTACCAACTTAGATGAAAAATGTTTCTTATAATATTTATAAAATAATAATTATTTAAATAACGTGAGTGTTCTGACCAATTCATCCTATAGTTCATCTGACCAATTTACAACAGCTGGATGAATGATAAAATAAGTTACAGTCGGTGATAGAGCTCTGTGTTAAGCTAAATATGATATATTTAGTTTTGTTGCTCATTATCATATTATGAGAGAAAAACCAACTTCTAATTAAATGTAAATCATAATTTAAAGCCGCAGTAATTTCTGTTATATTTTTTTCGAAGTATGTGAAAGCACAGTCATCTGCAAAAGCTGTGGCATTTCCTCTAAAATTCTGATTTAGTAATGAATTAATAAATATAAGAAATAAAATTGGTTCTAAAACGGTGCCCTGAGGCACTCCACATTTTATTTCAATAAAATCACTCAATACATTGTCGATTTTAACCTTTTGTTTCCTGTTACAAAGATAAGAGCAAACACAAAGCGCCTAAATCCAGCATTATATATTTTCTCCAGTAAAAGATCATGTGAAACAGTGTCGAATGCTTTGGTTATATCAATAAACAGAGCTGCACAGGAATATTTATCATTTATGCCTTCACAGATTTCACTGCAAAATTTTAGTAACACATCCTTTGTCCTTAATTTATGGCGTAACCCAAATTGGGAATTACTAAAAAAATTAGTTTTATCTAGAAATTTAACCATCCTTGATTTTATGGCTTTGTCAAAAACTTTGGAAATAATAGGTAAAAGCGAAATTTGTCTTTAATTATTTGGATTTTGTGAATCACCTTTTTTAAAAATAGGAAAAACCTCAGCAATTTTGAGGCCACTTGGGAAAATTCCATTAAAAACACTTAAGTTAAAAATATAGCATAAAACATAGCATAAAACAACAAAGTTTTTGAAAATGAACCAGTTGAAACAGAATCCGAATTTTTTAACCTCCTAATAATTTTATAAATTTCTGTTGGAGTAAAAAGTTCAAAACCAAAACTTACCCTTTGAAAACCATCAGTTTTCAGATTCAAAACACACGAATCATAATTATGATTATCTAAATCAGATGTCAAGTTTACACTTATTTCAGCAAAAAAATTATTAAAATAGTTGGCCAAAATTTTAGGATCATTAACCAAATTATTATTAATACTCAAGCAAATTTTATACAATCATTATTTAGAATAGAATTTATGATTTTCCATTCCCTTCTCGGATTACCCGTAGAAGCTTCAAATTTCGTTAAATAATAATTATTCTTACAACTCTTGATTTTTCCTTTTATCGATTTAAACAGATTTTTATACTTAACCAATAAACATTTCCTATTAGGATTTTTTTTTACTTTTAATTTTAAGCAATTACGTTTTTTTCAAAGTCAGAAGTTTATTTGACATCCAAGGTTTTAATTTCCTGGGTATTCTTTTCATGAAAAGTTTCATAAAAACGTAAATACGCTAATGAGGGGTCATCAGGAAAATATCCATCATTCCAAAACTCAAATAACAACCTATTTCTCAGTTTATTATAGTTAATAACAGTTTTATACTTGTAATCAAATTTAAAATATTTACAATTGAAAGCGCAATTAGGTATGGTTAAACTTAACATACAATGATCTGTAATTCCCAAGTCTAATACATCAGCAATAAGCTCATTTTTATTATTTCTGTATTTCCTTATAAAAGTATGGTCAATACAAAAACCAGAAACTGGACGAGTGGGAACTGCAATTAAAGAGTCTAAACCAAAAGAAGACAAGAACGAAATTTTTCGTTCAATCAATAAGAAATAATATTTGAAGTACATACATACATAATGTAACTTTTGGGAGATATCAGACCTCTGGAACTGGACCTTTGTACAGAACAATTCTACATTATTGCGTATATAAAAAGGAACAATCTACCAATTTCCTTCAAATTTAATATTTAAATAAGGGGTGTTAAAATAAAGAATCTGTAAAGTTTTTGGAAAGATCAGGCCTTCAAAGCCGGATTGGGTGCCGATTTTACATTTTTTACCATGTCTACGGAACGGATTAATGGAAATTCTTAGGCGCTACAGGGTGATTCAGCAACAAATAAGGAGCCATATACCATTGAGTAGAGAGTCTAAAATAAATAAAATTTTTATTCAGAACATAGTGCCAAATCGAACTCGTTTTCGAACTATACACTAATTTTAATATTTATCGAAATTTTAACACATTTAATTTTCATTGCTTGTAACTTCCGTTCCAAAAACGGTAGTGGTTTGGAACAAAGAAATTTGTAAGGGCTATTGAAGGGCTTGAAACAAAAAAAGCCGATGATTTGGTTTTACATATTTTTTGGAAATACAAGCGTTCGAATTTTAGGAAAATTCCAATTTTACTCATTTTTTGCATTTTTTCCACGACACTTTCTGCTACATCTTCTGCACCATAAAAGATTTTTTGACTCTTAATGACTTAGATTAAAGCTTGAGAAGCTGAAAAAAATTTTTGAAAAGTATTTTGGAAGTTTCAAAAACTTTCACAAAAATTTGCGGAAACAAAGAAAAGTAAAAAATAAAAAATTAGGAAAATTGGAATTTAGCATCCCATAAAAACTTATAAAATACTTTTTTTAAAAAATGCTTTTATGACACCGGTTTTTACTAGATAAGAACAACTAAATAACATGTCTGTTAATCAAATAAATTGAACATTAAAACGCTTAAAATATTCTCATTATAGCTTTTTGCTATAAGTAAAATTTTTAGGTAATAAGTAAAAATTTTACTAATTTCAAATATTATTAATTTTCATTTCTATATTATCTTTTACAGAGAGGATATGGAGAAAGTGAACGTAAATTTTTATGACAATTTGACAGTCTCATACCAACATAAAAAAATCTTACAATTTGTTCCTGAATTAAGTATTGACAAAAATACAAAGGTGATAACTCCTAATATTCCTTTATTGGTATGTATTTCTTGTTAATAAAATATGAAAACATATTATTAACATGCGTATATGAATATATTATAGTGATATCCAATGCATTGAGTTAGTGTTTGACAATAAACCACATTTGAAATAACATTTGTATCTGTATGAAATATGTAAAAATAATGTTCTTGAACGTAAAATAAATGAAAAAAGATTATCATTTCCAGTAATATTCTCAAAAAAAAAAACGGTTATCTTACATTCTTAAATATAATTATTTATACTGCGTCTCTTTTTGTCCTAAGATTTTTTATTTGGGATAGCAACGAGTTTAACTTGTCACAATTTGTTAAATATTCATTTTCATCCAACTCATGAAACCCTATTTTCGTTTTAAGTTCAACTAGCTTTAAGTTAAGTGTCAGTCCTTATTTAAAATTACCATTATGGTGTGTTCTCCATGATATATATTTAGACCCTCTTATATTAATTTTTCCATTAATGAAGTTGTTTGCGTAACAATTTATTAATAATTTATGTAAATAAAATGCTTTGGTTTACTTGGTCTAAGGAGTTTATTGCCCCTTGTGTTCTTAATCGTTTGTACTCATGTCTTAAATATTAATAAATTCGAGGCTGCGAAGAAAACTTTTTCTGTGGCTAACAAATTTTCTGTGTGCAGCTTAAGGCTTCTGACTCTATTAGACTTCCATCACGGGAACATATATTAGATGAAACTGATTAAAAACCTCTTACTCTTACGTGTGAAGATTCTGATGTTATTTTTGTAATTTTGAATTTATATAGGTTCCTCCAACATTTTCAACAATTAATTCGAGTCGTAATGATTTACTTGCCTCTTCAAATCTATTTTGCCTAACTGTTCATAGAATGTTTTTTTGGAAGTTTTAACCGATTAGAAGAATGCAATTATTATCTAATAAGATTAAAAATAAAATTTATTATAACTTAAAAAAATTTGATGTGATTAGCACATAACTGACCAACATGTGTATTGCCTGGTTAAGTGAAAGTGTTACAAATTATTATAAAAATCTCTGTTAAATACTTCTTTCCAATTTTTGGGACATTAGTAAGCTTATAGTTAACATACCTAGAAAAATGTCAATTTTGCTCTTAGTAGAGTTTCGCTTTGTGCTACCCGAAATCCCTGAAATGCTCAACAGTTAGTTTCGGTAACAACCAGAACTCGCAGATCAGTTTGCGAGCCCTGATCCTTCTAAAAAACTTATATGTTTATTGCTTTAGTACTAGGAATTTAAATATTAAATTTCAATGAAATCGGTTGATTATTTCTCTTGATATATGTAAAAATGTATATTTGGCCCGTAATAAACGTCCAGTTGCTGACGCATGATTTTTTCCAAAAGTTAGGAGATTTCGCGAACGATCGGGCTAAGCTTATATATGATGTTCATATAATATTTTCTCCAAAATGGTCAAAAATGTAAAACAGGCCCGCTAAAAAGTGCAGTTCCCGAAATTTGATATATTCTAAAAGTTGATCAATCCGTGCCATGGTCGAAATAAACTTACATATAAAATTTCATCAATATCGATTCAGATGAACTTGAGATACACACGTGCTCACCCAGACCAACAAACCGACAGACCGACAGGTTGCTAAAAATAATCAAAATTCGATTTGACAATTATCTAGAAGCGGAAGGTTGTGTATTCTCAAAGCGGGAAGTAGAAAAAATTTTTTAAATAAAAAATTCTATTAATTTGCAAATAATTGAACATATTGTATACCACAAAAAGAAAAAAAAAGGACTTACACAATTATTAAAGTTAAAAAAGCATAGCTATTTATTTTTGTTTTTAATTTTCTAATTTCGACATAAGACGAGAAAAAATAGAGTTGGCCCTGTCAACTCTGTGACACCCGTACAAATTTGTTATCCTATGTATAAACATACCATAGCTGACTATGGGACAAAGAAGTTGCCGTGTTAACACATTAATTTAGAAAAAATTTCGGCACTGTGTCACAGAGTATTTTCTTAGATATGGCCAAACTACTGTTGAAGTTCTATGACAGCTATCAGACAGAGCCAAACAATTTCAACAACTTGTATCAAACACATTGAACATACTGATATATTTGCTTGTGCAAAACTTCAATGCCACAGCTTTTATAGTTTCTGAGATATACCCAAATAACTTTTGAAGTTGTATGACAGCCACCAGAAGAAGCCTAGCAATTTCCACAAATTTTATAAAACACATTGACCCTAGTAACATATTCGTTTATGTGAAATTTCAGTACCACAGCTTTTATACTTTCTGAGATATAGACAAATAAATTTTGAAGTTGTATGGCAGCTACTCGAACCAGTACCCCAATCATATCCAATTTAAATAGGGTTATATATACTATAATAAATCATTTGTGAAAATTTGGTGAACTTAGTCCAATTAGTTGTTGAGTTATGGTTGGAACAGACGAACTGACATACGAATAGACAAAGCTAAATCGATTCGATCATCGATCCGATATCTATATATTCAAGCATCGATCGATGCGGATCAAAAACATACACTTGAGTCTATATCTCAGACCGTTATTTCTTAGCGTTATAAACCGTAATCTAAATTTAGTATACCCTACGAACATACGTTCGTACGGACATAAAAATAGCGAAATATACTGTTACAGTGAACTATTTAAATTTTAAATTTTAATGGTCGAATAATTTGAAGAATAAGGAAGTATTTTTGCGATTTTTTTTTAAATAACTTTTTTTTAAAACCAAATACAATTACTTTACTTTTATGACAAATTTATCTTAACATTGAATTCATTTGAGCATAATTAGAATTTTTAATAAAAAAGAAAAAAAAAACGAAAGACAAACATCAAAAACAAATCGACGGTTCCAAAAAGAACTATTCTAAATACACTTACAATAAAAGCTTTCCTTTCTCTATAATCATTCTCATTTACCTGCAAATTTTTGTAAACCTAACTTTAATAGAAATTCAACAAATATAAAATAAAAATTTTGTTGCAAGTTGCTCAAGAGGTTTTCAAATATTGTATTTGCACTTGCAGAAGCTCAGTTTCTTTTATATTATGCTAAAGTGACGTACATTAATTAGAGATCGTAAAACTTCTATTATTTGTTGACTTACATTTACATTGCTTGAAAAAATATAAGTTTTAACTACAGTTGCAATAATAATCACAAAATATTAAGTTTTTGTAAAAAGAGTTACAATATTTTCATAAAAAATGCATTTGTTCTAGCTCTTCCTACATGTACAATAAAAGCATAGTATAATATTTTACAATAAATTTTGCACATCGACATACACTAATACCGCACACAGTTTGATGAATGTTTTATTGTAAATATAAATACACTAAAATTATTATTTACTTGGCGGTTGTATGTCGACGTACAGTGTAAATTAACATTTTTTTGGTTATTATAAAGAAAAATTTAATTTTAAATAGTTTAATTAAAATAAAAAAAAAATAAATTTTCAGCAGGACCTATTAAGAAAATTATTTCCAATATTTTGCTTTTAATTTCATTGCAATATCTATTTATAACTAAATGAAAAGTTTTTTTGATCTCCTGGAAACCTATGTTTTTGAGATTCAATAGTTATATCCGGAACCGTCGAAATATCAAGGAGAGAAAACATTATTCTTTCGTTTAATCGTTCCACAAACAATAATAATAAAAAACATAAATATGGCGCGCATTTCTCCGATATGCAAAAAAGAGTGTTATGGGAAGGACTACAATGCAGTGGTGGTTGTCGCCAACTTTTCCGTGCTAAATGTGGGAAAATAGATTTCACTATTTACGAGATGGTTAAAATTGAAAATAGGTTTTCGAAATGTTCTTCATGCCCAGCATTTTCTAGTGAATTAATACAGTTGCATGGATCAATCAATGACTTTGACCCATCTAATGACAATATAGATAAATTACTTAAAATAAAGCTACTTACATTAAAACATTAGGTGTGGCGATTGCAGAAATGAGGCAATCTCAAAAATTTATCAATAATAAATTTGTAGATGTAGTCAAGCAATCTTAAAGGAAAACTCCTTATTGAAAAAAAAATTAATGATATGGAATAAGAAATGGATGAAGTTAATTAAGAAAAAAATAAAAACAATACTGCAATTGTAGAACTACCTCATGATTTCAGAAATAATTTCAAAGAAAAATGTTTGAACATAATGCAGAAAATTAATCAAATGTCTCCATAGAAAATTTAAAAAAAATCACATACATATCTTAAAAATTCTCTTAATACAATTAATATACAAAATAATAGTGCAAAACCTTTATATTTAGTTCAGTTTCAGAAGATTTAGAAGATACAAGAAATGAAATTATGATGAAAAAAAACAAACATCTCTTTACTAGAAATTTTTTTTAGACACAATTACACTTCTCTTCAGTCCAAAATACATTATAAAGCTAAAAGAATTAAAACAATAGGAAAGTGTCAATTCCTTTGGTATAAAAATATTAATTTTTACCGACCGTATTGTGTAAACAATAGGTAGGTTATGTGATGGCAACAAATTTTGCATATCGAGTTTTCGGTGGGAATGCACTTCTCCATAGTGGGGAAGTGTAAGTAAACTATTTTTAGCAACCTGTCGGTCTGTCGGTCTGTGTGTGCACGCGTGTATCTCAAGTTCTGCTGAACCGATTTTGATGAAATTTTACATGTAAGTTTATTTCCACCATGGCACGGATTGATCAACTTTTGGGATATATCAGGTCTCGGGAACTGCACTTTTTAGCGGGCCTGTTTTACATTTTTGAACATTTTGAAGAAAGTATTCAACCGATTTACTTGAAATTTCATATATAAGCTTTGCTCGATCCTCCGCGAAAATTCCTATGTTTTGGAAGAAATCAGGCATCGGCAACTAGACGTTTACTACGGGCCAAATATACAGTTTTGTGAATATAAAGAGAAATAATCAACCGCTTTCATTCAAATTTAATATATGAATTCCTCGTATTAAAACA